CCTCCTGTATGGAGCCAGGCTGAGAAAGTTGGGGCTGTTGAGCCTGGAGAAGAGAAGCTGCGTGGAGACCTCAGAGCAGCTTCCAGTGTCTGAAGGGGGCCTATAGGGATGCTGGGGAGGGACTCTTCATTAGGGACTGTAGTGACAGGACAAGGGTAACGGCTTCAAACTTAAACAGGGGAAGTTTAGATTGGATATAAGGAGGAAATTCTTTCCTGTTAGGGTGGTGAGGCACTGGAATGGGTTGCCCAGGGAGGTTGTGAATGCTCCATCCCTGGCAGGGTTCAAGACCAGGTTGGAGGAGGTCTTGGGTGCCATGGTTTAGTGGGAGGTGTCCCTGCCCATGGCAGGGGGGGTGGAACTAGATGATCTTAAGGTCCTTTCCAACCCTAACTATTCTATCATTCTATGATTGTACATACAGCAAGAATCACCATAGGATCACACAATGGCTTGGGATGGAAAGGACCTTAAGCTCATTCAGTTCCAACCCACTGCCATAGCATTCTTAAAGGCAAGATATTCTTCATAAAATCAAATCTTCATCAGACAGCTTTCAAATGAGCCACCAGCCAGGAAGTTCAGCTGTTTTATCATAAAGCCTTCATAAGAAGCCTATTTTCACACCTCCTAGCTGATCCCACAATTCAACAGCAAAATCAACACCACACATTCCTCTTTTCATATTCCAGCCTGATTTACATCACCCCCCAAATCCCAAAGAGCATTTCAAATTGGTTCGTGCACTTTAAGACAAGACCATACCTGTGTACACACAGTTAAAACATCTCACCCCCTATTAATACAGGTTCATTTGATATCAAAACTTGTCAAACAACTACAGGAAGTTGTTCTTACTTGAGCACTGCTGTCATGGCTATTTGTCTTGAAATTCTTAGGTAGGAGAGATAATACAATAAAAGTTCAAGTCCTGTCTGAGCCTTAAAAACCTAAAATGCCTCTAAGAAATACTTGATAGCTTCCTTGTTGACAGCATCTGCTCAGCATCCTCGCAGCATCCCTTCTGTAAGGGAAGTCATACCTTATACCCTCAATAATGGACAAGTTCTTTGCTGTAATTATTAACTGGAAAGAAAATACGAGTGTTCTACAACCACTGAACAACATACGAATGAGCTCCTGGTTCTCCTTGAGGCTCCTAACAAAGAAAACGACCTCTACTGATCTCTCGCAAGAATAACTCTTTGAGACAAGACAATCTAGGCGTGTTCAAAAACAAAGGACCAAAAAACCACCCCAAAACCAATACTGGAACTGCTGAACCTCAAAGCAGGGTTAAACAACCCCCAAAGTATTGACTCCCTTCCTTCATTGCAAAATTAATACGGGGAGGAGCTCGAAACAGCCGTTACTTCAGAGCAGCCCTCCAGGATCTGAAAGGGACTACAAGGATGCTGGAGAGGGACTGGAGTGATAGCACAAGGAATAATGGGTTTAAACTTGAACAGGGGAGATTTAGGTTGGATATAAGGTAGAAGTTCTTCCCTGTGAGGGTGCTGAAGCACTGGCACAGGGTGCTCAGAGAAGCTGTGGCTGCCCCATCCCTGGCAGTGTTCAAGGCCAGGTTGGACACAGGGGCTTGGAGGAACCTGCTCTAGTGGAAGGGGTCCCTGACCGCGGCAGGGGGTTGGAACCGAATGAGCGTTAAGGTCCCTTCAACCCAAACCAGTCTGGGATTCTGTGATTCTATTGGGATTTAAAAGTTGCTCCAGATACAAGAAAATCAGAAAATAAAACACTTTGTAGGTTCTGTAGCTATTTGCTCCATATTTTATGTACACTGTCAATGCAAATCCACTGTCAAGCAATGCTGGTATCAAAAGTGAAAATGTATAGAACCGAAATCAAAGTCCCTTTTGCTATCCAAGGAAAACTACATACAGTTGGTAAATAACAGATGTTCAGCAGAAAAAAAGACCACTTTAGTTTTCAATCAATGTTTAGCAACTTTATGACTTGTACACTTAAAAACAGCATTTTGAAGACTAATGGAAGTAAATATTATGTAGAGAAATACAGTCATGACAAGTATTATCCCAAAAGCATCGTTTTCCCAAAGGCCAAGTGCGGGGTCTGCCCCCTGGGTCAGGGCAATTCCAGCACAAACACAGGCTGGAGGAGACGAGATGGAACAGCCTGAGGAGAAGGACTTGGGGTGCTCGGTGAGGAGAAGCTCCCCAAGACCCGGCTTCAGCGTGCACTTGAGGCCAGAACCCCCCTGTGTGCTGGGCTGCACCCCCAGAGCGTGAGCAGCAGCTCAGGGAGGGGATCCTGCCCCTCTGCTGGGCTCTGGGGAGACCCCCCCTGCAGCCCTGATCCAGCTCTGGGGCAGCAGCACAAGAGGGACGTGGAGCTGTTGGAGTGAGGCCAGAGGAGGCCATGGAGACACTGCAAGGGCTGGAGCAGCTCTGCTCTGGAGCCAGGCTGAGAGCTGGGCTGGGTCAGCCTGGAGAAGAGAAGGCTCCTGAAGGGGAGACCTGAGAGCAGCTCCAGTGCCTGAAGGGGCTGCAGGAAAGCTGGAGAGGGGCTTTGGACAAGGGCTTGTAGGGATAGGCCAAGGGGCATGGCTGTTCTAGTGGAAGGTGTCCCTGCCCATGGCAGGGGGCGGGAGCTGGATGAGCTTCAAGGTCCATTCCAACCCAAATCTGTCTGGGATTCTGTGAATGAATGTCCCTAGTTGTTTTTTCAAGTAGAAACTGTCTGAAAGGTGGAAATCTAACCCTGATGAAATGCAGGCCTTAAGGTCCCTTCCAAACCATTCTGTCATTCCATGATTACATGTTACTACAATGTATCATGACTTTACCAAAGAGTCACACCAAACCCTGTAACTTCTGATCAACAGTACACAAACATGCTTGATACCACACATTAGAGACAAGAAAAATCAATCACATTAACAAACACACTGTTTCACTACTCTGTCCATGAGGTTTATGCCCAATTTATGCTATAAGATACCAGGTGACAGCCACCAGCATCCCAGTCTAAGCCCCATGATTTGGTTGTAACCAAGAAAACCCCTGTCAACCCATAATGAAAACTCCATAATCTAAATCACTGGAAAGCTGTTTAGAACATGGTTATGCAGAAATCATTGTCCTACTGACACACACATCATGCAATGAAAGCCATCAGGATTATATTTGTTAATCAAATGCATATCTTAAAACACAGGTCACTATCTCACACCTTCATTTGAATTTATACTGCAGTTCACACAAGAAAATTACTCTTACACACCCACTCCTATCCCATCACAGAGTAAAAGCATCAGTTTTCTTTACAGACATCACTTTAAAAGACGTATTTTCATTAAAAATTCAAACAAAATAGTATGTTGGTGGGTTTTATGAATAAGTTTTGCAACAGTTTAACAAAACTGTGCTGTTCCTGATGTGCCCTTTATATAACATAAGAGGTAAAGGGCTGCTGGGGAATTGAATATAAATACCTGTTTTCCATAAAGTTAACCCTGTTTTTAGAAGTTAGTGGATCTCAGCTGTCTGTTTTATACTGATCAGACACTGGACAACACGAGGAGACAACACATTAATCCTATTTCACTGTATTTCTGCAGTGGCTGTTGCGAACTCACAGACAGGACAACTGCACTCTGCCCAAAACCCAACTTCTTTGATATAAGGGAGCCCCTCCATGCTGATTTAAACACCCCCCCTTTGAAGACAGGGAGGGTTGGGTGGGGAAAGAGGGGAGAATGAGTGCGTTTGGGGGGGGAAAGCAGGGGCTGTTGGACCAAAAGCAGCCCTGAGCTGGGCTTCTCCAGCAGCAGGAAGTTTCTATGGGGCCTGGCCGAGCATGCGCCGTGAGCTCCACAGTCTCCCTATGTGGCAAGAGTGCAGAGGCAACAACCAAACCAGTAACAGAGACAAGAGACCAAGAGCAACAAGCACCTTCCCCTCTATATTGCGACTGCAGCCTCCATAAAGCCCTCCCCAGGCTTGGACAGGGCCCTCCCACCTCCATGGCTGGGAGCAGGAATTAAGGAGTCTGGCAACCAAATCTGCTACTGGAGAGAGGGGGAGAGGGGAGGAGGAGCAGCTTGAAAGGGAACAGCCGAGTGTATAACCCATCCCTCCACCTCACACAGCTCAGGTGGCGGTGGGGAAGGAAGAAGCAGCCAGATTATCCCCCCCCCCTCAAACTACAAGAGGGGACGAGAGGGAGGAGAAGAGAGGGATGGAGGTGGCACACAATGGCTGACTGTTGGTGGGGAGGAGATGGCCTACAACAGCAGTCATGGGGAGGGCGCAGGGCTTCTCTGTGCCTCCCCCTCCCCATTCCTCACCCCACAGAGAGGGAAGGAGGAGGGGTTGAAGGAGGATCAGGACATTGCCTTGTGTATGTGTGTGTGTCCTTCTTGCTTTAGGGGTGAAGGAAAAACGGACACATAGGAAGGGTGGGGATGGGGGGGGGGAAGGCTGAGAAGCAAACCCCCAAGCTGCTGGGTGGGGAGGAGATGGAAGAGCCCCATTGCCAGCGCCAGGGTGAACAAAAATAGTTATTTTAGCTTAGCCTCCATTCTGCAGGAATCCCACCCGCACGGAGCACGGGAACGGACTCAGGGAAACAAGAACGGGGAGGGGGGGAGGAGGAAAGGGGGGTCACAGCCGACACTGACAAGGGGGAGGACGGGAAGGAGGGGAGGAAAGGTCCCCCCACGTCCTTCCCGTGCCCCACAGCGGGGAGGCAGCTCCCCCCCACAGACACAAACAGCTGGTCCCCCCCTAAAAAAAGCAGGAGAAGGTTCCCCTCCCCCCGGAGCGCCGCTCCGGGAATCCCAGGCCCCGCCTCTCCCTCAACGCGCTCCACCCCCGGGACCGGGAGGAGGCGGGGGGGGGGGGGAATAGCCCCAGTCCCCTACTTCACCCCCAGCACCGCGGGCCCCCACCTTCAACCGGTCATGCAGAGTGTGTGTGTGGGGGGGGGTGGTGGGCTGAGGTAACCGGGCCGCTCACCCTGATCTCCAGGCTCCTGCGGCGGCTGCAGGACGCGCTCCAGCTCGGGGAAAGGCAGCTCGGGCAGGTCCAGTAAAGCCCCGTAGCGCTCGAGGAAGGAGCAGACGACGGCGAAGTTAGGCCAGGAGCCGGGGCAGCACGGGCCCGCCGGAGGAGGGGCAGGCGGAGATGGGGCCGGAGGAGCCGCCGCCGCCGCCGCCATCTTGGACCTGAGGATGGAGAAGGCGCTGAGGGGAAAGAGGGGGGAGCGGGGAGAGGGAGGGAGGGGGCGCTGCCGAGCCGCGCCGCCAGTATCCCACAATGCACCGGCGGAACAGCGAGGGGCGGGGGGGAACGGCGGCCAGAGCGGCGCAGGGCCGGCTGCCCTCCGCCGCGTGCGGCGAGGGGAATGAAAACAAGGCGGGGCTCCCCCCGCTGCTATTTATAGCGGGGCGGGGATAGACCGCCCGGATGACCAATCGCAACGGGAGGTGGGCGGGGCCAGCGGGTAGCGCTGGCCAATGAGAGGGCACCGAGCGTTCCCGCCCCCTCCGTTCCGCGGTAGAGGTGGCGGCGGGGTGCGCGCGGTGGGGTGAGTGTTAACGGTCGTAACGGATCCATCCCCTCAGTGCGAGGGGGCGCGGTGGGACGGGAAGGGGGGTGAATGGCTGCTCGTCTCCTGGTCCCGCTGCTAGGCAGCCGCTCTGTAGGGCTGCTTAGCGTTAGAGAGAGTGGTAAGGTGGCAGGGCCTTGCTTTGAGGTGCGTTTGGGGGGTGTCTGAAAGCTGTGCTGCCCGCCAGTGGCATCCCCCTTCGTGCGGTTCTGCTCTCCTCTAGGTTCCCTGCTTTTTCCTTATTCCTTCTCTCCCACCTACTTCGAGGAATCCTGCTCTGTTCCCATCACCCTGCTCTCTGTGATCTTCACCAGTAGTTCCCTTCACCCGTCTTCTCAACAGCATTAGCTTACCGAGGTCCTGAAGAAAGTTCTTGTTGTTAAACTTGATATCTATCCCCTCCTTACCCCGTTTATACTTAACCTGTCTTGTGTACTTGCTGTTGTGCTGTCGGGTATGAAGTCCTTAAGAAGACCTGCTCCTTCAGCTGCTGTATTGCTCCTGAAATGGCTGAGGAGAAGTTGCCTGCCTTCACCTGCTGACCCTGAAGAATTAACGTTGTCTTTTGATGCATTGCAGTTGTTCTGTCTGAAGCTGCCCATGTACTGACTTACTCTGTCACCTTTGTGCCCTTTGATCTCAGGTTGCACCTAGATTTTATGAAGCATTCCTTCCCTCTGCAGTCTCTTCATAAAATACCCTGATGTGCTGCTGTTGTTCAGCTTTTATACTCGATTTGTTGCTGGTGAGAGCTGCCCTGAAACAACATTTACCCTCACTGGAGATGAGTGTTGGCAACTTTAAAATCCACCTGCTTGTTTGCCTGCACTTCATCTCAAGTTTCTGTTTCATTCTCAGCTGTTCTTTTTTTCAGCCGCTGCTTCATTCGGTATAGTCTCCTTGCATGAACTTGTATTTTGCCTCCTTTTAAGCTCTCCTTCCTTTATTTGCTGTGATTTTGCACTCTCATAACTTCCTGAACCATTCCTCCTCCTTGTCTCTTTGTGTTTGAACTACTGCAGCATTGTTAGTTTAGGTTAAACTTATGAGTCATAGACTTCATGGTCTCTGATCTTAAGCGGTGGTGCGTGTTTTGGTGCTGTACCTTTGTCATAGTAATTAAAAAAGCCAAATTATTTATTGGGGAAGCATTTTCCTGCTCCTTGCTGACTGGTGACAGGACCATGCCCAGTGTCCATGTCCTGGGTTCAGCAGTAGCAGTCATTTTTCTCCTTCTTAGTAGCTGGTGCAGTGCTGCGGTTTTGACTTTTGGCCTGGGAACAACGCTGATAACTCTGATGTTTTTAGTTGCTGCTCAGTAATGTTTAATCTGACCAAGGCCTTTCTGAGTTTCATGTCCTGCCAGGGAGGAGGGGAAGCCGGGAGGAAGCAGAGACAGGACACCTGACCCAAACTAGCCAAAGAGGTATTCCATACCACAGCACGTCATGACCAGTGCATAAACGGGGGCATATACCCAGCAGGGCTGGATCACTGCTCGGGTCTGGCTGGGTATCTGTGGGTGGGTGGTGAGCGGTTGTATTCTCTTCCCTTGTTCCCTTATCATTATTACTATTGGTGGTAGCAGCAGTGATTTGTGTTATACCTTAGTTACTGGACTGCTCTTATCTCAACCTGTGGGAGTTACATTCTTTTGATTCTCCTCCCTATCCCTCTGGGAGCAGGGTAGGGGGAGAAAGGAGGGGAGTGAGAGAGAGACTACGTGGTTCTGAGTTACTGACTGGACTTAAACCACGACAGTCCAGAATGTTCAAAGTTCCAGCTAAAATGTTCATTCTTACTTGAAGATACTCTTCCTAATTCAAATCCTGTTACTGGTATTCTCTGGCAGTATTATAGGAAATAGCTTTAGACTGCAATTTTTATTTATGGCTTTTAAGTTTTCTTTCTTTGTTTCTGCTACTTGCTTATTTTTGTGCTATTTGGAAACAAGAGTATGGATTAGGAAGCTCTTCCCTGTGAGGGTGCTGAGGCGCTGGCACAGGGTGCCCGGAGAAGCTGCGGCTGCCCCATCCCTGGCAGCGTTCAAGGCCAGGTTGGACACAGGGGCTTGGAGCAAGCTGCTCTAGTGGAAGGGGTCCCTGCCCATGGCAGGGGGTTGGAACTGGATGAGCTTTAAGGTCCCTTGAACCCAAACCAGTCTGGGATTCCCTGAACCCTGGCTCTCCTGTTTGCGTTTTGTGCCTGTGTGGTTGCCCAGTTCCAGCCTTGTATGGATTGGATTCCCATTTGGATTGGGAAAGGTGATATTTCTAATTACTGTTCATTCACCAGTGTCAGATCTCCAGGTCTAATTCTGCTGTTCCCTCTCAAACGCAGCACAGGCGAAGGTTATTTTCATTCTTGAGAGCCAGGCTGTGAGCAGTTTATTCAACCTTTACTGCGGTTGGTGGGTGATTTCATTCTGTTGGGACTCCAGCTGGTTATTCTTCTGCTATAATCTCCCTTCAAGCAGATCTTTGGAAAAAAAGTCTTGCAGACCGGTGTTTAAATCCACTGCATTGTGGATTGTGCGGTGAGGGAGGCCAGAATACATGAATCCAAGCAAGTTTCATTCATGGCTGCTTGCCTGTTTGGCAAGGGATGGAAGAGTCACAGAGTGGTTTGTGTTCTGGAAGCTTAAAACCCATCCAATTCCAGCTTCCTGGCACAGGCAGGGACACCTTCCACTAGGGCAGGTTGCTCCAAACCCCATCCAACCTGGCCTTGACACAGGGTTGCACTTGGCCTTGTTGAACTCCGTGAGGTTCACATGGTCCCACCTCTCCAGCCTGTCCAGGTCCCATCTCTTCTCTGCAGCTATTCTGTGGAAGAAGCACCTCTGGCAGACTTGCTCCTGTTCTGAATCCAACCTAATGTGGTTTTATGTCATGTGAAGTGGGGCACTGAGACCCTCTCCTGGCAATCTGAGGAGAGTGTGTCTGTGCTGTGATTTGCTGTAGCATGTTAAAAGCCAGGGAAAAGGCTTTCCAGGAGGGTTGGAAAGCTGGTAACCCAAAGATTTCTGTTTTGTGAGGGCTCTTTAATCTCTGCCACCAGAGTTCCTGTGATTGATTCATTTTTTTCCCCTGATGGATTTGGATTAAAAAGGAAAAGATGAGAAACCTCATGTCTGGAGACATCAGCCAGGGAGAATTTCTGGATCGTTCAGGAGCAGATCTCTTTTTACTGCAGTCACAACCAGTTTTCTGCATAATGTGGTGTTCAGACCATCTTCCTCCTGAACTGGACAGATGGAAAGGTGACTCCCTTCGAGGAGCATTTCCAGGGTGTCACCAGGCAATTCCTCTTGTCATTTGCTGCCAGAATCACAGCAGCAATCAGCTCACAGTGATGTGAGGGACTGTGAAGAGGGCATAAGCTTCCATGGTGGGGTGAGCTGGTGCTTTGAATCCCTGCCTGATGGCTGCCCAGCTGTGACTGTGATAGAGATCTCAAAATGACTGTGCTTAATACCAAAAAGCAGTTGGTCGTTAGCAGTGCTGATAAGGCCTCAGCTGGAGCACTTCATCTAGTTCTAGGCAGCACACATCAAAGATGCACGCCAATTGTTGCCTGCCAGGGGAAAAGAGAGGAGAAAATAAGCAGAAATCTAGAAAACATGACTGAAGGGAAGTTTATTTCATTTAAAAGAAAGGAGAAAACACAGAGTTAAGTCCTTGGGAAACAAAAGATGGTGGAAAAGAGAAGGCTTAAGCTGTTCTTGTCAGCAATAGAAAGGATTAAGAAAAAAAATGGGTTTAAATTGAAACAATGAAGGTTGAGGTCAGAGATTGGAAAATGTATTATTTGGGTGTTTAACTGTCCAGAGACATTTATCTCTGCCAGGAGTGACAAGGAAAAGAAGGTTGGAAAGTCTCCTTTGCTGTAGCAACATGGCAGTGCCATTGTTCTGTTCGTGGCCTTTCCATTGTGTTTACTGGGAGTTGTTTAACCTCATGTACCACTTTTAATTAGCAAAGCAGCCGAAGAAACAGCGTGTCTCAGATATTTTAGGATATAATTACTATATTCATTGTACATTTTAGGGAGAAGATTGAAACACAGGTTGGAGCAACCTGCTCTAGTGGAAGATGTCCCTGCCCATGGCAGAGAGTTTGGAACTGGATGATCTTCAAGGTCCCTTCCAACCCAAACCAGTCTGTGCTTACATGATTCTATGTGAGAGGATATTCTGGAACCTGATCCCTGTTAGTAGTTTTAAGAGCTGAGCACCCAATAGTTGTACAGATTTAGTATATAAAATTATTTGCACCAAATCCTGCACAAAATTACCCTCAGTTCAATTCAGTTGTGCCAAAATGATGTGGATAAAGCCTGTAATAGCATTTCCTTCCTAACTCCTTGGGGCAGGGGCAAAGCTTTCTGGTTATGTCAACATGCTGCATGTGTTAGCCTGATGTTATGCATTAAAATATCCTTTTTCCAGACTTTGGTTCAACTTTGTGATGTCTTCCCCTGAAATTGCTTCCCTTTCGTGGGGTCAGATGAAGGTAAAAGGCTGCTCCACAACATACAAGGACTGCAAAGTCTGGCCAGGAGGAAGCCGAACCTGGGACTGGCGAGAAACTGGGACTAATGTAAGTTTGCTGGTTACTAATCTTTAGTCCAAAGACCAGTTGTTAGAATTCCAGCCAGAGATTCTGCAAGTTGCCTTTTGCTTCCATCTGTTGGGCTTTTCCTGGGAAGAACCAAGTGTGTGTTTCAGACATGAGTGTGCAAACGGGCTGGAGGACTGCAGGCACGATGTCC